TTTTTCTAAATAGAACTAGGATAGAGTTGAAAATAACATAGCACACGAGGCATAGTGAATAAGTGGTTTCCTGCAACTTTTGCGACATTACATATATTGTTAAGTGTGTACTGCAAGCCAATGGCTCACAGGCAAGAAAAAAAAAAAAAAGTTTAAACAAAACTTCTGTAAAGAAACACCACCTCTGGCACCGGGAGATTCGAGGCTGTAGGTGAAAAGAGGAAAGAATTACATTGACTCTGAAGAGAAATATCCTCTGTGGTTTCTTTCAACCATGAATACTGGATAAGAGTTAAGATTTATGAAGCAGAGCTCTGTGTATTAACATGCAGCAATCTCAGAAATGACGACGAAGAAAGCGGGTTGCAAGATGATACAGTAGGAGCCTGATTGTGTATCTTTTTAAAAGACATTGAACAGTAGGACATATCGTTGGTGGATGCATCCCAATGTAGAAAAAGGATGGAAAAGTGTACAGAGAAAAACAAACATCAACTTCAGGACAATGGGTAACTCGGGAGACAGAGCAAAGAAAGCAGGGATGAGAGGTGGGCCTTTGACTATAACTGTAATCACTTATTTCTTAAAAAAAAACAAAACAAAAAAGGATCTGAATCAAAAAAGGGAAAACGTGCACATAAATTATATATGTGGGGGGTGGGGACATAGATGACCGTTATATTTTTTTCCTGTTTGAAATAAATATTCCCTAATTAAAAATTGAATGTTTCAAAAGAAGAAACAAAGAGAAATATGAAAGAGCAGTGAGCCCAAGGGAGATGGTGGAAGAAGGGACTCTCTGAGATCTGAGGGCGAGAGGGAGTCAAGGGAAAGAACTGGGGGAAGAGCTTCCAAGCAAAGTGAACATCAAGTGCAAAGGCCCGAGGGCGGAGGCGCGCCTAGTGAGTTAGAGGAACGGCAGAGAGGCTGGGTGGTTGCAGGGAGTGAGCAGGGGGCAGACGGAGAAGTCAGAGTGGTCCCTTAGGTATCGAGGTGAGCTTTGCTTTTAGCTGTAGTGAGGTAGAGCCACAGGAGGGCTCAGAGCCCAGAGGGCCCTGACCTGTCTCAGGGGTTCACAGGCTCCCTCTGGCTGCGTGTGGGCGGGAACTGGAGCTGGAGAGCTGGGAGGAGGCAAAGGCTGGAGGCTGAAGGGTGGGGTGGAACGAGGGAGAGGAGCGTTTAGATTCTGGATAGATTGTATAGGTGGAGCCCACAGGGTTTGCTGAGAGATTGGAGTGGGTGTGAGGGGAAGACGGGTCAGGAAAGACTGAAGTGTGGGGCCTTGCCATCCATTAAAATAGAGAAGTTGAGTTGAGTCGTTTGGAAGGTGGGGACAGGGATGGGAATGGAGGTCTTTCAAGAGGTAGAAACGGCCCATTCTGCAGATGCGTGGGGAGCAAGTCTCTGTGCGGGGGGTGCCTCAGACAAAGGAGTCCGCGACCGACAGACTCGGGCAGCGGCCGCAGAGATAGGCGCAGGTTATGGCGTCAGAGTAGAGTTGCGTCCAACTGTGCAGCCTACCCGCTGGGTGACCTCCGCCGGTCACTTCCCATCTTCGAGGCCAGGCTTCCCCGTCTGTGAAAGGGCTGCTGCTGTCCTTCCCCGCGCTGTCCCGTGGGCACACCCTTACCACAGAGGTAGCTGCTCAAGGTTGCAGCACAGATAAGCGCCAGGGCGGCTGGATTCTAATTTGGTCTGGGTGACAGGGACTGGGACCGACAGGAGTCCCCGGGGACCGAGGCCCCGGAACGGCCTGGAGCCAACATCCGGCGTCTCGGAGACGGGGATGGGGCGGGGGGAGATGTTGGCCGCCCAGGGGTCCCAAGCCTCCGCGGCGGTTCCCCCAGCGCTCGCGGCCCCAACACCTGGGTTTCCCAGACTCTCCATCCACCCCCAGCTCCGCCCCACCTCTCAGGTTCCGCCCTCGGAGGGCGGGGAGCTTCGGGCCAGGGGCATCGTTGAAACCGAGGACCCCTTTCCGGGCACCGGGGAAGAGGGTGGCAGCCTGTGCGCCACGGCACCTGCCATGGCCGTGTTCTGTGTTAATCAAGTCGGCCTCTATTTCTGTCTCCGTCTCTCTTTCTCTTCTTCTCTCTTGCTCTCTCCCTGTTATCTCTGGCGTCTCAGCCGCCCTGTCGATTTCTCGGTCTCGCCCTACGCCCCCTGCTCCCCCAAGTCCCTCGGTCTCTGCTTCTCCAGCGGGGCCTCCCTCGGTCCCGCCGTCCCTCCCCGGCCGTGACCGGCCCCCCCCCCCGGTGCCTC